GAACAGCCTAACCATGCTCTGATACCACTAAATGTAACACCTCCGCCGAGTTCTCGTGAGACCGACGACGCGATGCCACATTTCGGTGCTGTGAGACACCGTCCTACTGAACATACAGAATCCTTAAATAGATTATGAATTTAGAAGTAATGAGTATTCACAAGCTGTAGCGAGTAATTTTTATTTTTATAGATAATCATTCTTCATTTCGTTTTCATCTCTCTTTTTTTTTTTTGAAAAATAGATTGGAAAAATCCTATATAAACTACTGTAAGAATTCCCTTTTAAAACAAACCTGATCTCGCCAAAACATGTGAATTACAAACACTCCAAATTAACTCCAAACTCAACATCTCCACATTAATCATCATAAACACAACAACACTTCTATATTTTTTCATTAATATATAAATCCTCAATAGCAGTTTAATATTCCATCAATTAATTGCATTCAGTATATTATATCAAGTCTTAATAAACTAATCATACCAAACTCTCTTGAAATATTTTATTTTTCAATCATTTAATGAATCTATATGCTTATCTCCGAATATAGACACCAACATAATTGCCCTAATTAAACATGCTTAAGTTATATTCAAACAAATACAATCTCTGAAAATTATAATATTATACATGCCACTAGTCTTAACTACAAGATCTCAATTTCTACTTACTACCACCAATTAGTCACTTTCTTGCCCTGATGCTACTCTCTAGTCTTCAAGCAGCAAACCACAGTCTTTAACCCTGCGGGTTTTGTAAAATCAAACCGCGCTGAGTATAAAACTCATTGGTGCTTCATAATTTCACATACTTACTAAGTTGTTGTATTTGGACAACTTACTTAAAACACAAATTGGACATAAAAATCATAATTTCAACATACATGATTTCATTTATAGCAAAAGAAATAATCAAATAACTAGTTAATTAATAACATAAGGCAATTTAATTCTATTCAACTCATAAATTCATTACTTGCAACATTTATCTATACCAAATACATATACTATTTATGTTTAAACATGTACTGGAATATTCATGCCTTTGAAAATCATTTAACATAATCAATTAATTTTCCAAAGTAGATTTACTAAATCATATTTGATCTCATTCGTTAATTCAAATTACTTGTGAAAGTAAATAGCGATTATAAAATACACACATATTGTTAATTCTAGGCTCGTAACTAATATAGAATGAAATTAAGCAGATTTGATCGTGGGCCTATGTTAGCGCCACCCCATCACCACAATTCGTTGGCCTATGAAAGCAAAACACCCCCTTTCACACAGTTGCTGGCCTGTGAAGCACCCCGTGTTATAAAGCACCACCCCATTCACACAATTAGTGGCCTCTGAAAGCACCACCGATGCCTACAAAGCACCACCCCTATCACACCAAATAATCGCGTCGCCTTATTCTATTAAGGGCTTGATAACCCTAGCATATGATCGCATAGCTTCACATAACATATAATCAATCTCATCAATACCACGTCTTCATCATGCATAGTAGAGCCCAAATTTCAAAATATTTCTTTTCACAAAAGCAATAATTCTTTAATCAAACCTCATTCATTACTTAGTACCCATCATGTCAAATTTCTCAATATACAACTTAACAAAAAATTACACATTCTTCAAGTATATTGAAAGGAAAATTTCTCATAAATTTCCTTTTTCTTTTAAACTTTCTTAACTTCATATGGAAATTTATCTAAGAAACTCTTATTCATAAAAAAAATCATACTTTACTTATGTAAATTCAAGCACCATACCACCTAAATTTACCTTTTTCTTTAAACTCTAACAGTATGAAAGTTTATGCTTCAAAATAATCCATACTTTATGTCATACGTATGTAGATAGACATACCATACAAAAAAATAATTAATTTAAGTAAGCCTTACCACCCTAGAGTGGTTTGGCCTCTTAATGGCAAAACCAAGGGAGGGAATTTCTTCTCCACAACCAAGCCATCTAACATAACTCTTATTGCACCAAGTTATCCATTTCTATTTCAATCATGCATTAATTCTAATTCCACACTTTTAACCCAAAATTTCAACAATTTTTTCCCATTTATATCCATTTAAAAACATATCCACATACCACTTTTCATCTATATCTTATTTTTGTCAATCAATCCTCAAACATACAAATAACTCAGAGAACCTCATCACACATGTTTCATTAATACATTTATCCAAATAAAACCTATGAGTCAAGCATATAGGAAAAATTTCCCAGCGATATAAAATATCTTGACCTTTGCTGTGCTTTTTAGACATAACTTGAGTTACTAGGTCTCAACCTTAAACGAGTTAGATTCGATAAAAAGGCTAAGAACAAAATGCATACAATGTTTGAAGGGGACATAAGCCAGTTCAATGTGTAAGATGGTAACAGAAGCTAGGAACACAGACCAACAATCCAGCCCGATTTCAGCAGAAACTATGTCAATTGTTTATTACATTTCCTACTTCCCCAAACACTCAAATTTAAACAAGTCTAGAACCAGGCACTCTCACAACACGGAAACAACCTTTCATGAAGACCTTCAGAGACCAATCTATTGGAAATCTTAGTGGTTCAAAATGGGCACTACCCCCCCCCCCTTGCGTGTGGGCCCGACATAACAGAGTCAGTTTTAGGTATGGCCATAAAGTTGAGCTATGTTATCTCAAATGGGACAAAGAGGATGGTTTGCGAAAGCTAAAGAAGTATACCTACAAATTTCATGAAGGACTCAGACACAATGGAAAATAAAATGTTGAAACTAGTCCTTAATCTCACCCAATAAAAACTTTTTTTCCAAAATTCAGCTTACTCTTTAACCATTGAAAAAAAAAACATGAACAACCCAACAACGATACAAGGTAAGAAATTTCTACCACATACTAAAATACTCATCAACTCACCAAGAGGCACTGTTATTGCAACAAAGTTCAACAAATCCAATCATTTCATACATAAATCCCAAAATACATGTATGATAGCATAAATGCACAAAATCAAAATTCAAGTATAGGTAAGTGTGTTTATGAACACTAACCTTAAAAATAAGCTTTTAGCAAGCATTTAAATTAAAGCTTTCTAAGCTCTAAACTTTGCCTTTTACTCCATGGTAGAGGTATTCCCCAACCATTTGAGCTTAAGTAGCAGAATCTTCAAATTTCTGAAACTAAATCACACAAATCAACTTTCTCAAGAAGCTTTAAATTCCTAGAATTAAATTAAACTTAAATTCAAGCTTTGGGTGGGTTTATTTTGGTGGATTTTAAACAAGTAAGAGTGAAGAAAAACAAAGAAGAGAAGAAGAGAGGGAAGTGCGCGTGAAAGAGATGAAGAAGAAGCAGGAAAAAAGTGATATGACATCAATAAATTGAAGTTGACCTTATAAAAGAATAGATCAAAAGGGTATATTGGTTTTTTTTTCCTTTTTTTTTTCTTTTCCCCATAATTGGATGGCTAAGATTAAGACTCATCTAATGGCTAAAAATATTCTCAATTCAATCCTTCACAATATAAATTTTTTCACAAATTTCTCAAATTACTCCATAAAAATTATTTCCTCAAAATTTCCTTAATTAATAAAGCCATCATAATTCACTATTCACTAATTATCTAAAATTCTCAAAAAATATTCATTACTTACTTTCTACCCATAAATCATTGCATTACAAATACTCCAAAAAATATTAAGAAAATACTAAACAATATAGATATTTTTACCGAGCAAAATAATACCGGACTCCCGGACCGGTGTACATATCACAGACCGGTGGTTTACTATTTCATAGACTGGTAAATCAACTACCATTCATAGTTAATCATTACTCAATATCTTTTTCGGACCTAAATAAAAATATCCATCCCCTTTCTGTTAGCACCATTCATGACCGATAAAATAATATTATTTTAAGATTCGAAAATTTTGGGGCGTTACAAGGAAATTATGGATATCTCAGAAAGCGATGATGATAGCTCAATATTATAGATATTTTGGTTAATGTTGCTGCGTTTCTTCAAATAGAACCTAAATTAGAAGTGCTCAAAATGATTTGAAAATTGGATTTCTGGCTATGCAAGAAGAGCTAAATCAATTTTGAGATAAACAAAGTTTGAAACTTGTTTCTTAGACCTAAAAACATTCTACTATTGGAACAAATGGGTGTAGAAATGAGCTTGGAATGAAACAAGGTAATGTTATGAGAAAC